CGTAAACGTTCGGAACGTTCTGATTGAGGACAACCTCACGAACAGCAGTTAGGTGATCCCCGGGCAATGATTCCAAAGCGTAGGCGTACTTTTGCTTTTGGTTGGTTATGCGGCGGATCTCAAATTGAGATTCCAGTGCCGCGAACCAGACTTCTGGATCATGAGGGATGAAAGGAACCGGTCGAAAATTAATAGCCTGTACCTCGGAGTCTATTATATTTATACTACTCTTATCGTTATCCACCATAGTAAGTTGCCAAGATATTATATATTGAAAATATCAATGCGAATATATGCAACAGAAGTGGATAGATACACAGATTCACCAAATTGATCTGGGTTGGAAAAATGGCCAAGTTTGAACTGTGCTCGAAGAATTGGGTTACTGGTTGTGGTTCACCAGATGTTGTGCGTGTTCCCAATACGGCTCACCAGTTTGTAGTGGATGTCGAGTCGAGGACGGACTATGATCACCCCTACTATTCGATTACGCGCCCGAAAACGACTTGGTTCCTTTAATAGCTCGTAAATCAGAAAGCTTTATTAATCTAGATCAAGTATATTTATTGGCGATCTCGTGGTATCGAAATAATACCGAGACGTGCCAAAGGGTACAGGCGAAATGAGCAGTGCGTGAGCAAGTTCGAACCAAACAAGGCGGAGAGCGAAAGCAGAAGTGAAACTGATACAGTTAAACAAATACAGTAAAACAATCTCTGGTACAATTGGTTACAATAATAATAATTGTTTCCGTTATTCTAATCGTGTTCTTATCGAGACTGGCCGGTCACTACAAGCTTTACAGGCCGACTTCATGCATCCTATTTTACCACACTTAAATCATTTAGCATGGAGAAAGAAACATGAATTACGTAAGTGAAATCTATCATAGGATAAGCAATTGCCAAAACTGTGCTCACTATCGTAACCTGCTTTTCAACTCTTAGCTGAACCACGTTTTGCATGTCCATGAGAATCAGAACCATTATTAACCAAACGTGAGCTTGAGCGACATTGAGAATGTAGGTCATCACCACAACTAAGTGAAGTATTAGAAATTTTCACTGACTGGAAATCAAGTTCGTTCACTACCGCGTAGTTAATAGATACTGGGTTTTTTTCTTGGAATGGCCTTTTTGGCTTCCGAATTAATTATCTTTCTAAATTCAGAATACTTATACTATCAGTCAACCGGCCACGAAGTTGAGTTTCTGTTTGGTTTCCAAAATTGCACTTCGCTGACTATTTCTGTAGTTGCAATATAAAGTCTTTAACTTTCTGATCGTTCTGAGACATCACTTTAAGAAACTTCGATCTCTCTCTGCAATCAAAGCTAGCACACTGCACTAGGGTAAGTAGTGATTCTTTGAGAGATTCATATGACAATGTGATTGATTTATCAGGAAAATCCAGATTATTTGGCAGGTTGTGTGCTTCCTTAGTGGATAGGACACACTTTAAGAAAATCACCCAACTGCGTCACAAGACAAACCCTCACATGGAATCCTGAAGGCCAAAGGAGAAGAGGAAGACCAAAGAACACATCACGCCGAGAAATGGAAACAGATATAAGAAGAATGAACAAAAGTTGGATAGAACTAGAAAGGAAGGCCCAGGACAGGGTGGGTTGGAGAATGCTGGTCGGCGGCCTATGTTCCATTGGGAGTAACAGGCGTAAGTAAGTAAGTATGTGCTTCCTTGCTGATTAATGTCAGGAAGTAAGCTTCAAATTTATAATTTATATACTTTTCCCAGTCATGCACTAGGTTTTAAACTGTTCTATGTCAATCTTCATAGCACCATCACTTTTACTCAAAAATGACAGTGGCTCTTTTGTTTGTCTTCAGTCTTTATAAATAAAGAGATTCAAACTACTTAATAACAATGGATAGTATTACGTAATATAATAGAGAAACAAGAACAGGAACGTCGTTAGTAGAAAATTAATGAACGTAGTCATTTCCATTTGAACATTAGAAGTTTGAAAGAAGTTTAGAGTATACGGAAGAGACTTACTTGGAATAGATTATTTTTTCCATACTATTTGGTCATCATAGAATGTTGTATAAAACGTTTAAACTAACAAATCGTTCAAGCAACCAGAAACTACTTTGGTTTTGTGTCTACAAAGCTGATTTACTGGTAGACTATTATTTCGTATCATGAAAATCCCTGCCTTATCATTCAGCTAATTTTACTTGAGTCATGTGACAGAATATTCAACCAATTTATGATACACTATTGTAACTATTTAAGTATTTCTCGGTATCCTTCTCTAATCACGTGGAATTTTAACAAGTATTAAACAAGGATTTACACCTCATTATCTAGATCGGTGATAGAGTCATTCACTGTCATAATATCTATATTATAAACAACTTAATCTATGGTCTTACTATGTCTCATGTAATATATTGCTGATTGGAATTTATGAATAAGAATCTGTGTAAGTCAATTCTTTTGTTAAGATAATATAATGAATTGAGAAAATGTGATCACAGAACCGCACTATTTCCGATATAATAACATCCGTTTAATCGTTAACATTTAGCAAACAATTAAATTTCAGAAAATGTTGCTGAATTTTAACTTCAATACCGTCTATTGGATTGTAATCTACAAATTCAAACGAGTCCAACTTTCCTAAACTGTTCACTAGATGGAGATTTTATAAGATTTCAACAACATGAATGAGCCGATGTTACAAATTAGTTAAACACAAATATTACATATTAATCCCGTGGACGTTAAAATTGGGGTTTAAGTTAACTCTTCCGAAATTTGTGATGGTAAAACATTCAATTCAATTAAATATAGAGGGGAATAGTTACTAGATTAACTAACAAAAACACATAATAATCAGTTGTGTTCGCTTAGGTACAAACTTGTCAGTCATGTACCTTGGCACTTCACGATACATAAATCAGTTTTTCGTACTATTTAAATGTAATCAACTTTGTCAAGTTACTCATTTGTTCCTTGTTAGAATACCCCACCTCTAGATGACATTCAGCCATGACACGTTGGAAATCGTAGCATTAACGGTGGTCACCAAAACAAAAGTGCCGAGAATTGATTAAAACGAACAGCAGCCGAACAGTACTTATGGTGATCAACAAATCCATGAACAACTTCGATAACTAATGGTCGATAGAGGCAAAACAACTATCAACAGTTCATACTAATTTTAACTAATTAAATTAATGTAAACGGTGTCTACTTTCTTCTCATATTATCTAGAAGTAGAGTATTTTATTATGCCTATTGTAATAGAATTAACAGTTAATAATCTACAAGTTTTCTATTTCATGAGACAATACAAAAAGCATGATTCACAAATAATTCTTAATCCGATTCGTTTGAAAGGTAGATGGTCTGTATTAGTTTCCGCGTTTTACAAGTTTCATTACCATTAGACCAACATTTAAGTAACTATAATTGGATACGTTATCATCGTTCATCCATTGATTCATTTATGGTTTGATTGAAACATGAAAACTATCGGTGTTATCCAACTAATTTATCAGTAGAAAATCATATAAAAACAATCAGTTCACTCTAACTACTAGGCCAACTGTTACCAAAACATGCAATTGTTGGAACCAACTTCCTAATTTTAGATTTAACTGAATAATTAAGTATTTTGATCACACCTTATAATTATGCACTCATATAGAACATTTAAAACTCATTGCAAAACAAACTGTTGCGAAATTCCATAGAAAAAAACCAATGCCTAGGTAATTTTATCTCAGTCTGTCCTTCGAAAACTCAAGGAACAACCATATTAAAATTCATATATTAAATATTTACACAATGGAAAATATCAGAGAAAATTGTTACAATATTCCAAGCCTATTTGCTGAAAAGTATTTACTATCAACACAAATTTGTCAGTAAGTTATTAAAACTCTTATTATGAATATATCTAATATCTACCAAGCCCTGAATTTTGAAACGAAACTACTGTGCTATGATGTTCCCTTGTTATTGTTTACTTGAATCTTCTCATTGATATTTGGGACTGCAATTGATCAGTCTCTTGTTGGCAAATGTGCATCCTGTACGGATTACCTTGTTATTGTCACAAATCACAAGCATTATAAGCAGGAATGGATGGTGGCTAACAGTGGCATCCAGGACGCGCGTTTCGTCCTATTTGGGACTCGTCAGATGGATGTACCTGCAACTCAGAGTTGATGTTCACTTTGGAGATCGAACCCAGTACCGTTCGTTTCAAATGCCATCGCGTTATCCGCTTAGCTACTAAATTCCACAATTGATAGCTTATTTGTGAACTCGTGTTTATTCGAAAGGTTTCTTTGCTCTTTGAAGTACAGAAACTCAAATAAGGTGGATTTAACTGTATAGGTTAGTCATAAAAACTTTTGAATAAATATCATGTCAATATTTATTACAAATGATTGAAATATTTGGAGAGATTTATTGGTAATTGTAAGTTATCAACAGAATGTGAATTAAAACTCGAAAAACCTAGTGAACGCACACAATCGATCCACAGTTTGGAATAACTACTACAGTATACTATAATTTATCGTTATTATCAAAGCAATAACTGTTATGCGCAGTGACATTAACAAACACAGACTGATCCCACAGTGGTTAAGTATGAAAAAAAAACAATTAACTAAACACTACAAGTTATGACATGACCATCTGAATGAAATATTTAACAAAGTGTAGTAACCTAAATGTTTTGTGACAGATATTATATTGAATAAAACTGATGTCCTTGAACTTGACAACCGGTCGATAAAAAACGTAAATTACCAGTAAACAGCACTTAACTATATCAGAAGGGGTTTTGTGGAGATTTAGTATTTTTCATAGTAGAAAGCATGAGTCAATTGAAGCTAGACCACCATGGAAAACCTGGAAACACTGGACGGCCGTTTCGTCCTATTATGGGACTCCTCAGCAGTGCGGCCGTCCAGTGTTTCCAGGTTTTCCATGGTGGTCTAGCTTCAATTGACTCATGCTTTCTACTTAACTATGTTTATTTACTGATTCCTTTCAACAACAAAAAATAACCGACCATATCCAACAGATCTTCAATATTAATGGCTAATCATAAATATAAAACAAAATGACATATTTCACAAATGTGAATTATGAAGAATGAAAAATAAATTTTATTTTCAAGAATTTTTCTTTCCAATAATTCAGTACATGTACAAACAAAAAAATCAATAAAAAAACGACAACACTAGAATGAAGTTACAAACTTTCATAAAACGTATATACACAAACTAGAGTAAATTAGAAATATATAGGGGGATTTGAATGATACAATGACTTGACTGTTAATCCATATAAAAATACCAGTAAAGAATTTAAATCAATAATAAAGGAATCTATATTTATATATACATCTGAATTGTCAGTTTCAAATTAACGAAATAGTGAAAGGTGAAAGTTTTAAAGTAAATAATTGTTTTTTTTTGTTTTTAATACAATGTCAACTTCTAGTTAAGTTCGCTGTTTCATTTGTATATGGACAATGTGAATTCCAATGAGTCTGAAATTCAATAGTGTCTGTAGAATGAAATTCACATAATGGACATTTTCGTACTCGACATATTAGATCAGATTTATTAGTATCCTAAAAATAATAAGTAGACAACAATAATATAAGTGAAATATTTATCATCATTCATAGATAAGTGAATGAAAAAAACGTAACAGTAGTTACGCTATTAATTTTATAAAGGCTTACTAAAAGTGTTTCGCATGAAGTTTGATATTAAGATGTTTAGAATTACAGTCTACACAAAATAAAAATCCAAGAGAAATGAAAAAAATGTTTTATTGAGGCTAAGACCCTGAATTTCATCCAAGTTACATAGAACAAAATAAATAATAATAATGTCTGCTAATTTAGCGAACATATAAAATGTCAAGTCATCATCTCATAAATATCCCAAGAAATCAAGTGGCTTTTGACTTGCAATTAAATTCGAAATCAATTTAAAAGTAGAAATAATTGTAATTACAGAAATATAAACACATGAACACTTACCTCATCTTCGTTTTGTCGACTACACTGGTCACTGGTTGAACAAATACGCTCTTTCGCCCCATTTGTACTTGCTGCATCACCACTGACTTCAGATATCTTCTCTACCTCTTCACTATCATCTACTATTACCAAACCACCAGATTCATTTTCTTCACAGTCACCAACATCTTTAACTACATCTCCTTCAAGTGTATAACATTGATGTACACTGTTAGCACTGGATACCGATGTCGACATACCACTATTCCCACTTTCTACTTTTTTCTCACAAACTAACCCTCTAACCATACCTTCCACCTCACTCTCATCACACAAATGACCCGAAAATAATGAACAATCTTTACTTTCACAATCGTATACACGAACTCGTTCATAACCATTACGTTTCACTGAATTTATCGGTGGTGTTGGAGGATGATCAACTCCAACACCTGGAAAACCATTCTGCGGAAAATAACTATACAAAATATCATCTTCTGGAGGTGGATAATATCTAACAATACGCAATAATGCTTCATTCTGTAAGTGAGAAACATGACGACCCAATGGACATCGACGCATATGTTTTGCGACATCCCACTTCCACTTCGCCCGATAATGACAATAACAACAACCAAACATTCTATGCTCAGAATGGTTCACCATATGAGCACGCAATTCACTGAACCAACGTGCACCAAATTTGCAAACAGGACAAATAATCACTGGCTCCGACCCATCACATTTCTTCATACCTTCCACACCTGTTAATGGTGGTCCATTATCCAGAGCTTCAAATGAAATCTCATTCTCATTAATACCACCATACTCATGTGTTGAAAGTGAACCTCTATCCTTCCTACTTTCTACTATACGATCCACACAACTGTCTTCCACTTTCCCAACAAACTTCCGCGTTTCAAGTGGTCTAGAAGTACAACCATCTGGTGAATGCGATTGATCAGCAACAAGGCGAGGAAATGTCTCAGATGACATCTGAAAACAATCCCTAAAATTGCTAACCAACTTCTCACTACCTGTTGTCAACAAAACAGTACCATCAAAACCCGAATGCGATCTACCTTCAGTCGCTTCATCTACACTCTTCTTACTAATACATGTTTCGATGGGAGCAGCAACAGAACAAACACCAGACTTCTTCTCACATAAAGTAACTAACAGACTACCAACAGCTAACAGCAAACTAGCCGATGTAGCAGATAACTCATACGATTCACTCATTTTGTCGTCAACTTCATTCTCCAGAGTACTCAGTGCTGTTTGCAACAATCCAATCAGCAGAGCACGACTGACGCGATTTTCTCTTCTCTGTTTCTTACCACCATTGTCCACTGAAATGGAAGTTGGCGTTACTGAGACTAAATCCTCTTGTTGTACCTTCACTGAATCATTTACATTAAAAGCATCAGTCTTGACCAAATCCACTGTGCTACTAGGGCTAACACTGGTTCCGCTTAACGGTCGTCCGCAGTCAACTTCAGTTTCTATTACCCTTACAACTGATAAATCAAGTGGTTCCACTTCATCTAAAGTAATTTCACTTACGTGTCGATCTACAGGATTCACACCTAACCGACTTGTTGCACAACTCGATATAATCTCACCATCTGGAGTGTTCCTGTTTGAACAACATGATGACTCAGAAATTTTATCTCTCACGTCAACAACACACTCTTCTCTCCCGCGCGAAATCACACTGTGTCTCCGTTTGCTACCCAGATTTGTATAATCAGTGTTTGGCGACCGAACACGTTTCACTCCATATTCAGAAACTCGACTATGCACCTTTGGTTGAACGACTGGGGAAGAATAAGGTACAGATGACAAACGCTTACGACCAACAACAAATCGATCTGAATGATCTCCTGGTACTGATTTATGTATCTCTGTGATCATATTGGACCTACTAACAACGATATCATTTTTCAGATCATTTCCATTCTGTCCACTACCCATCGTGCGGGACATTAGGTGATTTAGATCAGGCGGACAATTTTCAGAATTCTCAGTCCTCATACTATAAGTTCGTCCCACTGAATCAGGACTTTTATATGAATAATTCTCTCTTCCTTCTAAATATTTATTATTCAGCTTATTTAAATTTGCATTCTCGATAGATGAAAGTGGAGTATTATAACTGTTGTTCAATGGCTTCCCATCACCTTCGGAATCCTCTCCATCTCCATCATCACCTTCATCCAATTCACCATCAGCTAGACAGTTTCCTTCAGCATTACTCAATTCTGTAAAATGTTTATCTTTCCAATGTTTATTTAGTGATTTTTTGTGTTTATAACTAGAACCACATAGCCTACATAGATAGACTTTGGAACCATCACTTTTATTTGTCTAAAATTGAAATAAACAAAAAGTAGAGGACATAGATAATCAATCATTACATTTTCTTAATGAAATATAACAAGCGAAACGAGAATTTCTGTATCTATACTGAATCAAATATCTCTTGAAAATACTGGAGTTACACGAACTATGTTTACATAAAATATAAATTACAGTGATATTTAGATAAATATTGTCTATTAACAACATACTCATCAAAAGATTTAGGGTAAGCATTAGTTACTTCTCATTATTAAACCAGATAGTTATTCACCATATTATTACACCAGAAAAGAGTTTTCACTTCTAATACTGTCAAATTATTGTTTTTAAAATGTGTACACAATAAATAATCAAGAATTTCAGCAAAATCTTCCCTCTTTCAATCTAAACAAAGAAATAGTACCACTTTTGTGAAGCTCCTAATAGTAAACCAGGAAGTTAAACTAGTTTAAGTAAATTAATTTCACTAATTAGTTACCCGAAATTTTACGTGTTAGAATAGTTCTGAATTGCTTTAGTGAGTGCGTCTGTGGTTAGTTAAAGTGAATTAAAGAATGAGATGATATTAATAGTACACTTTTATATTTATAATGTTTTCCTACAAGTTTCTTCGTTAGCTTTCCCAACGATTTGAACTACGTTTGCAACCCATGTGTTGTAATAGAAATTTGCTTGTCTGAACAATATTAAACATTTCTGTAGAGCATAATTAAGAATAGAGAATAGTATTGAAGCATAGCTGAACGCTGTATAAGTTAAAATCACATGGTTTCAATAATCATGGGTTTAAAAACGAAATACCTAAAATGACACATTAACCACTAAAGCTTTGTCATATTTTAATAGTATACCAACTTGGGAATAACCTTCATGTCATGTAAAGTAATAAATTAAAATCTATGAACTATCAAATAGAACAGTTCTAAAAATATTAAACACTTCAAATACTAATCACCAATATTATAAAACTATGCGTCAAAAAATTCAGTTCAGAAAAATTCAAGAAGCATGTTTCGTCACATTTGAGACTTATCTGCTAAACACATCTGAATTGTTCTGTTGATCTTTATGTCATCTTAGGAATTGAATGGAAAGTACGTCCGAGTATATACCGTTAACTATTATACTACAGGAATTTAATCAACTTACAAATGAATACTGAGTTATCTAAGAGGACATGAAATTGACCGATTTGCTTTTGAACAACCAATATACGAAGGAATATATGTGCTTACAATTAATAATTTAATTAAATCTTGTTTAAATAATTTTTTACTGACTGACAATTACAAGTATTCATCAATAACTTCTCTATAAAGCTTAAACACTTCTAAATAAGGAAAGTATAACAATCATAGCAGAATAGTTTAAATTTACATCATCTGCCTACAACCTAGAAACAATAATATTAATTATTTATAAACAAAACAATGTACTTACTTTATGTGCGAAAAGTTTTAATTAAAATCTTAGTAGACATATACAAATAGACGAGCGTTCAAATACACTACTTAATTATTCTATAATTATCGTCTTTCAATTAAATCTACATCTACATTGTCAAATTCAATTTTAATCAATATTGTTACCATATAAAAAAGTATATTCATTATTGTTTTTAAAATAGCTAATACTATATTGTTTCTAAGTTACAAACAGCTGAAGAGAATCTAAACGAAATAAAATGAATCCATACTACTCTGCTATAATCATCATTCATTTATTTTATTCAAATGGCCACGAGTATATAGCCTTTGCCACAAAAGTCCTACTCACTGCCTTCTCGTGGTGGGGGTGTTCTTTACAAAATTGAGAGGACGGGAAGCTAATGTCCGGCGCTTTATCAGGGTTCGTGGACACGGCGAGTCCACCTAGGGGAGTTGGAAAACCATGATTCAAAACCAATGGTGCACATCGGCTCCAGTATCCTGAAGGAGCAAATGATGTATGAACCAACTGCTGGTCGCTGGCTACCATGGGACTGCATCTCCTTAAGATGCTCCACTGCCTTGTAGATCAGATCTTTAGGTCAAAGGCTCTGGGTGTGCCCCCCTAATAAAACCACCTGCTTCAGTTTGGGCACCTGGGCAGTATCACAGCCCTCACATAAACCAAATGAGATTTGTGTGGCGCATATATACCTGGTGACCACTTGTACCAATATTTATGTATTCAAATAAATAAATAAACTATTCAAATTTATATAGGATAAAAATTGCATTCATTAATTTTATTTATTCTGTGTATAACTTTTTTTTTATAGAAAACTGTTCATCTAGTCATTTTATAAACCGCCTTTAATAGTGTGTTTTCCCTTCTATTCTGTTGAAAGAGAAAATTTCGATAATTATAACTGATGAGTTATAATTTCCTATTCTATATTCATTCAATGGTATTTTAGTTGAAAAAAAAACTATAGATAATTCTATCAGAAGTTTGTGCTGATGTCGTTTAGAATAACCAAGAAAGCTTCACAATCAAACCATCCAGCTCAGAGAAGAAAACTCCATCAAAATAATTAAATTTAGTTGGTCAACAATTTAATATGTTGTTTTACATTGATAATCGTCAATTGTAACTAATTTGAAATTAATTCATTGTAATAGGAAGTGAAAAAAAAGACTCAATAATTATTAATATTTTTCTTTTCTCACTTTAATGACTTCAATGAATTATGCTGGTTTATAATTATACATTTGAAAAGATGCAGGATGGTTAGAAATAGTTTTTGGTAGGTCAAGGGTCAAAATCCTTATGGCAATTTAGGATTATTGAATTCAAGCAGAAAAGAATTAAAAGAGAATATTTATAGTCCAAAATGCGTTGAAATGTGAGAATGTGTAACAGAAATCATTTGTCTATACTATAAGAAAAAGGTGTTTAGGAATCCAGATTTTTTACGTTGGATTTGTAAGTAATTCGGATTAGTATATACAGACAATTGATTTATCAATATAACAAAACGATGTTTATAAAATTCATTCATTGATATAAAAATATCATTTTACCATAGCTTATATAAAGTTCATTATACGTTGATTTCACCGAGTGCCAATATGAACAAAAATAATTCAACAAATCTTGAGCATATGAATGAAGATAGGATATGTGTCCGTCATTTTACAACATATCTACCTCTTAATATTCAATATGTAGGTAATATCTAGAATTTTTCCGTTCATTTAGAGAGTGAATACTACGTATAATGGTATTCAGTGGGGTTTTCGTTTCAAGCCTTCGTTTTATTTTATTTTTTTTGACTAGTAAGTTGGGATACCTTACGGTGTCGTATCCACAATGTTATATATATATATATATATATATATATATATTCATTAGCAGAATAAATATGCAACCGATGGTTAGAGACCTTGAATGACATGGCTCAAAATCGTTTGCAATGACAAAGGTGCATCCACTCTTTGTAGTCTCCCAAATTCTAATCTTCTGAATTCTTCATGTCCCTATCCTTTTTCTCTTTCCACACTTATTTCACTGGATTATACACCTTGAATAACATCTTCAAACTATAATCTTTCCGATTACTGCCTATACTATTAATACTTATACCACTATGGGATTTGAATCGACAGCTGCATCTCTGTGCTAATGTGGTATGGTAACTCGAACTGATGTACGTACGTACGAAGTTCTACGTTGTGATATATATATATATATATATATATATATATATATATATAGAGAGAGAGAGAGAGAGACTTATATAAGTAAAATAAAGTCCCTACTAAAAATTACGCTCTTATATGCAGTGCTGAAGCAAGAAATTAACGAATGTTCGAAAATGTTTAAAAAATGGTCATCATCACACCCATAAATCTACTAACTGAAAGTTATATTAATCATCTTAACAGTAATGATATTACAAACTATCAAAATGTCAATAAATAAGTTAACCCGTAACTCAATTATTGAAAAAAAGAGTAATCAAACAATTAAGCCGTAATTACAATTTGATTAACCGAGTCATAAGGAAATTAGCCTATTATACTAATAAACAAAACCTTTAATGAATTCTCTCCATTGTTTTTTTTTATGGAGTTAATTATAAGTAGAAATAAATCATTAAATTGTATTCATAGATGACATACTGATTAAAGCACTGAATCTTTAACCTTTAGATTTCGGGTTTGAACTTCGGTTCAGTTCAAACGCTTCGAGTTATCGGATTGTATTGCTAACATAACAAAAGTGTGTATTGAAACCAGTCATACAAAACTGTACTCGGTTACTAAGGTCTGTTAGAATGAAATAAGAATTTACCATTTTCATACTATTTATCTATAATTGTTTTGACACAATTCATGTTTATATTAAGGTTAGATATGATAAGAAGTAGAATTGTGGTAAAGTTTGACAATAAAGTAATCAAGAGAAATGTTTGGTAAATAGTATTAATCAGTTCACAACACTATTCGAGAGCGATAAATACGAAAATCTATAGTAAGTCATATTTATACATGGATAAAAGTGACGCCTTGAGTTTGGATGACAACCTGTTCATATTTATGAGTATTATGACTTCGAAACCATATATTATATTGATTTGATTAATTGAATGTATCCTCAAAGTGTTTTAGTAGTCATATTACAGGATCTGTATAAGCGAAACAATTCCATAACAGATCTCTTTAATAGGAATCCAACAGTGCCGGTGAGATTTGACCATATCAAACTGAGAACAGACTATTTCTACATTCAATTACAGTCTTAACAGGGAAACTTCAAAATATATAAAAATTTTACGTATTGCTCAAATATAATCATTCTTCTCATATGACCATAGTGGCTGCTCATCATCTAGAAGTGCCACTTTATAACATCGATTCAGATGTTTTGAATACGTGAAATACTCATTGAGTTATTTCATAGATTTGTTTTTATACATGAAACGAAGCTGAATTACAGAATAACAACAAACCACATATTTTAATCATTCAGAGTTTAAATTTTAAAATAAAAAAATTAATACCAATTTTAATTATTCAACACAGTATCACTTTCACGCTCTTTGTTCAAGTATATAAAGTAGTATTCTGATATTATTTGTAGAAGTCAGTGTAGAAATATATTCATTTCTCAAAATTCTTAGTTCAAGTTTTAATTCAACAGCCATCACTTCAAACATTGTGGCCAAAAGACTATGATACCTATAAGTTTTAAAGTGGATTGGACTAAGCCATATTAATAGTCATACATTACCTGGTTGGTGTCCGCGTGATTATTATAACCACTGGTTAGAGACTTTGAATAACATAGTTCGAAATCGTTTGCAATAGCACAGATGCATCTTCTCCCAAATTCTAAGCTCATGAGTTCCTACGTACATACTAGATTCTACGTTGTGACTGACTATAGTGGGTAGTGATTGTTGTCTTGATTGATTAACAGGAAAAGACCTATTGTTGAACTATGGATTCATTGTCAATATTTGCTGGTACACAGGAGTAGAATGCAAAACATATATAGTCTTTAAATCAATTTAACCAATTCTATGCTCATAGTTGTCAGAAAGTATTTTTCTTTCAGTTACCGGCTTTAATAATGCATAAAAAGGAATTAGATTAAGACTTCAATTTGTAATCTAATGATACTATTCAGTTGTAAAAATAACTGTATTATGTTCAAAATAGTTTGAACCTGAGGTTGAATAACTGAAAGCTAAAAATACTTTAAGTAACAGGTCACCAATTCATCATCTCAATAGGACTATGGAATATATACTTCTCTTGAGCAAGTTATTAAAACTAATATTGTTTGGCAGATGATGTTATTTTTAAATTTGTCAAAACTTGCTGCATTTAAGTGAAACAGATTGATGATACATGTCAGTCAAAATTTTTAACCAAATAATTCAGGCATATATTTCTGGTGACTTATATTAAAAGCCATAAAGTTAGATTAGATACATATTTAAATATCCCATTCCAAACAGTTCTTAAAATAAAAAAACTCCCAATAATAGTAAAATAATGCAATATAATTAATCAATAAACATTTTTTGTACTGGGGTTTTGAACACACTTCTGTTCGAAGGCTATTCATTCTCACTTATTGGAGTAAACTAATGTAAGTGCAATCGTATGCAAGTCCATAATAGATTTTAAGTTGTGTTTGAGCTACCAAACCAACAATTCATGACGTATAAAAGGAAAAAAATCAAATCAAAAATGAATAAAACATTAACTTGATATCTATTGAATGTGCAATTGAACCAATGGGATTTTAAATAAAAACTGAATCATAAGCAAAAATAGTCCACTGATTCTACAAAGCGTAAAATCGAATACATTGCTGGTGGCTAACTAACTAAACTAATTCAGTAATCAACTTCAAAATTTTAACACTCGAATTCATGGGTCAATCCAAGCTAGACTATCACTGGAAACCTGGAGACAGTGGATGGCCGTTTCGTCTTAGTATGGGGCTCCTCAACAGTGCGCATCCATGATCCAACATCAAAGGGACTCGAATCCAGCCCCTTCAGTCTCGCACGCGAATGATTAACCTCTAGACCACTGATCCGACATCCAATGACGTTAATGTCTAACTTCAATCGATCCATAACCTAGCCCAACCATTTATTCATTGTCTGAGGTGGATACCTGTCTCTACCCGACACGAATCGGACTCCACAGGTCACGGCTTCTCACTAGAACCCCAGGAAATTCATCTTGAAGCGAGTCACTAGTGAACACATTATGAATATTATTAGAATGGTAGTTTGTGGAGATCGTAGTAATTTTAATAGTTGGATTCATGAATCGATCTAAGTTAGACCGCCATTTAAAACCTGGAAGCACAGGACAATCTAATATTTTAAATTCAACCATTTTATCTTGAACCTGTATGTCAAACATAAAGATGAAATGAACAGATAATTGGAAGACAAAATAACTTGTAAAACATTGAATGAAAATGTATTGGATTTAAGGTGAGACATTTTTAGCACTATAGGAAGTATAAATTGAAATAAGAGTTCATGTAAAACACTGAAATCGATTATTTGGATCATATCACCGAATATTAAAAACTGGAAACCTTTAGGAACCCTCTGTTTCCTCGCACAAATGAAAAGACAAACGGGATTTAGTAGCATAAAATTAATGGATCTTAAACTATGATCTATCGATTTTGATGCATCTTTTCTTATCTACTTTACTTAGCATTCAAATGTAAGCAATAAACAGCTTAGCCTTTTATTTTCTCTAGGCATCATAACCTACACTATTCCCTAATTTTTGTCAAATGAGGTCCCTGAAAGAAGTCAGATCTGCCAATAAAATATGTGGTTAATGTCCACATATTAAATAAAATTAATGAATTAAAAATCACACCCGATTTATTCTTTTTACAATCAAACTTTATTCGAACTATCCGTTAATATCCCCGCTCTTTAGATAATTAGCACGATTCAAAGACTAGACGATGACACTTGGTTACTGAGACTTGTATAAAGTGAAATAGGTTTGGATATTACCATAAGCTGTCAAGTTATTGAAATACTATTAGAATATACTAAAACCCAGACGTGGAATTTAATACAATTAAATAGTTAAACAATATGATAGTTTGACCCAATACAACGATCCATAAACTTAAACCTAGTACTATCTGACAGGAACGCTACAGATTTTAAAAATTCCAACCATAATTTTGTTATTCATTCATTAGACAGTAAATAGTTCCTAATGATGAAGATACTCTTGTCTCCATCATATTTCACGTACTAGTAATAATTTCCATCTGGCTACTCTGTAGTTTTGAACAAACAAACTAAATATCATAGTATTTAAATCACAATTATAAAAGTAAAGGGAATTACACTACGAATCACATAGACTAAAACTAAATATCAAAAAGTAGATATACCTCAAAAAATTTCCATGATTCCACAGGTCGACGAACATGGTAACGAAAACCTCCACCATATATATTTGACATATTCGAATTAGTTTGATTTAAAGGTAGAAATATTGATGTAGGTGATGTTGATTGAATTAGACAAGTAGCACCATTTGCAAGAGAATAAGCTGAGTCGGTTGTACAGTGATCTTTCTGTACTTCGGTAGAATTAGGAGAAAACTCTCTCTTTAATGGATTCTCAAAACTGGAATAATGAACATCGTCAAATTTTAGTCCACGGCAAACGACACCACCATCTCCATTAATTTGGTATTGTTTTTCGCTTAAGGGATTCCTTCTTAATGAATCAGAAGTCATTCGAAATAAATATATCCACTGTTCACTTAAAAATCTAGTTTACTAGTTGAATAAAGTAGGATCTCAAATTCCAGATCGTAAACTTTTGTTTGAAAAATTGACAGGAAAATAAGGTGAGTCCTTTTTTTACCAGACCGTATGGGACACGACACAATGAATGAGTAAGCGAATGGATGAGTGGTCTGAACAAATAGAATAAAGCAGCTGAATCATCGTTCTACCTATCTATGATTTTCTATGATTCCGTAACCCCTACCACCCTGTCTTACTGACCTCTACAGTCTTTGAGATCTGCTCATGGATGGGATAAAAGGTGGTAGGAAAGTCATTGAGGCAAACTTACATGGCACACAAACAAATATTAATGTGAATATATACTATGAAAATAAATTTATCTATCAACGGATAGATCATCTATTTCCATATGATCGTGATCAAGACACACGTTAAATGATTTTAGTCTACCAATGAGCGAAGCGTAATTCGTAGTTGTTTTGTTTTAACTTGAACTTCTCCCAATCTTCTACCACAGGGTAATTTTCATACCTAAATTCATTGTTTCGTTGTTCTGTGTACTAGCAGTCTATGTTTGGCACGATGAATCATTGAGCAGATCACATCCTTTGAGTAATAATTCTGTAAACACATATGACCACGACAATATTATACTATAGAAGTAATTGGCATTTCCGATTGAGATTTTTGAAAGACGGGAATATCTTATAAAAATAATCGCCTTACTTGTCATCTTATTAATTATTATTGTTTGTGTTTGTTTTTCCATTGTTGATACTCAGGGCTGCGTTTGACCAGTCTTTTTTAACCTATGAGCCACTTCAAGGAATCCCGGATACTGTATATATTTACAAGCCGACTGTATTTTGTTTGATGTGATCTTCAACACCGGGACGTTGGTGCATCTAGCTTATGAGTCATAAATGGGACGCAACACGTATCCTGGATTACACAACAGACCACCAACCAAAATATATTTACGGCTATATATGTGTATGCACATACCGAAAAGTTTTAACATGAAAAACTTGACTTGAAATAATGCTAGAATGACTGAAGTGGACGAACTGATAATTGTCTTTTGGATATATATCCCTAATAAAACAAACTTCAGAAAACAGAGTCGTTGGCTACTTGACTAAATATGTTCTCGAGTACTAAACGTATGGAAAATGGTTTAATGCTAGGTTTATAATATTCCGTTGTTGAAATTTAGGATACCAAGTGACCTGTCTCTGTCGCCATATGTAGATCCTAATCGATTTGTGTCGATTTAGCATTTACTCACAAGTTTCTAGTACATGTGGTATGTGGATAGGAGTGCAGTCCAAGACTCAGATCTCAAACAGATCGAAACGCACATTCTGGATGTCACTGCCGCCCACATGTCAAATATAATAAAATAATAAAAAAGTGGCAGTTTACAAAAGTAGTCATTGGTTCACCGTTTCCCTCTCATCATATTAACAAGTTTCCACCAGTAATGGTGATCATTATGTTATATAATGTATTATGTAGGGAATGCTACACATAAATAAACTTTGAAGTAACTTCCAAGTATACAAACATAAATATGCTAGTACTGAGTATAGGACTAGGTTCAGACTTCGACCGATCTAATTAGTAATGTATTGTGTTTTAAATATAAACATGAAGTAGAGTTGTGAAATAAACCGATTGCTCACCAGTGAACTCAATTAAATTATGAAAGATTTATGTAACCTTTATGAAGTCGTGAATTCTGTTTCTCAATATTTACTGTGTGATCGGTTTCATGTGAAATTGATGTTAGTGATATTATTATTAGTATTACTATTGTTATTATTATTACATAATACGTTTTTGTTGACAATATAAATTATCAAAGAATAGATTTGATATTTGAAGCGCAAGTTTATTTTCTATTGGCAATTATCGCAAAAATGTTTAGTTTATTCAATCCAGTATATTCTTATGCATTAAATAAATAATTGCTTTTAAGAATAATATAAACAAAAACTACAAGCAAAGATGAATAGTGGCTAGTAGTGGGATCTAAGACGCGTGTTTCGTTCTATTTGGGACTCATCAGTTGGATGTACCTGCAATTCAGAGTTGATGTTCACTCTGGGACTCGAATCCAGTACCGGTCGTTAAAAAAACGCCATCAAGTTATCCACTTGCTTGTGCAATGGGGTGAAGTTTAAATTCACTTGGTACTGTTGCTTGTGAATTCAGACACAAGCAAGTGGCTATCAAGGACTCAGAAGCTAAGTAGATAACGCGATGGCATTTGGGGTGAACGGTACTAGATTCGAGTTCCAGAGTGAACATCAACTCTGAAATGCAGGTATATCCATTTGACGAGTTCCAAATAGGACGAAACACGCGACCTGGATTCCACTGCTAGCCATCATCCATTCCTGCTTATAATGCTTGTGATTTGTGACAATATCGAAGCAATCGGCACAGAATGCACATATGCCAACAAGAGACTGATCAATTGCAGTCCTAAACATCAATGAGAAGATTCGAGTAAACAATACCAAGTGAATTTAAACAATAAATGTTTAATTATAAATATTCATCAGGAATTTTCCTCTGTACTATACATAGTATTTCATTCTACGCATACGTGAAAGTCGTAAATATAAATTTGATTTTATGCTGAATGATTTTTTTAAATGTTTACATTCTTACTAGATTCGGTTCAGGAAAAAACTTGTTAACATTTGTCCTAAAATTTGAATTTCCATGTACTTTTAAGATATATATATATATATATATGTGAAGTTAATGTTTTTTTGACATTTATGTGGTCATTAATATGTACTTACTAAATCATATGACTATCGTCGTGAAAAGACTGAATCCCTGTTGGAGATGCTAGGGCCCCAGTAACTACTGCTCCTTCGTTCTGTTCGCCGATTTAAGGTGATCTCGTAATCTCATCAAACATAGAAATTCCAAAGTTCAAGCATGTATACGTTTTCGCGGAAGTTTTGTAAAGTATAAGAGTAATTTACAAAACAATATGATATGACTAGGATGGATTAGCTAAAGTTTTGGAGGGAAGTTGGCACTTGCGTAGTTAATTAATTCTAAAGTGAGATATTTTCTCATTGATAACATTGAATTTAATTAGAAAATGACTGGAATTGAGCAAAAAAAACCGACAACTGAACATCAGCTCATAAGTTAAGTGGTATCATGACCTTCCTAAAACTTAAGAGACTTAGAATTAGTTTTAAACCAGTACAAATGTATTTTCGGAACAGTGGTAGAAAACTTGGTCTATCAGATTTTAGACAATCTGGGGAAAAAAATAAAAGTAATGAATCAGAAGTGTATGACTTAAACTTCATACACATTATAATGTGTCAGTAACGCATATACTCAACATCAGCAAAACAACGTGGATCTCCACAAAGTATTTCGTCTGCTAATGTTAGGAAATAAATCAACAGTACATATGCGAATTGCAAGAGAATATTTTCCCTCGTTAGATTTGAATTTAAATCACTATGAACCGTGGTCAAGACAAACGTAAATATGTGGAAGATTTAGCGATGACAGCGGAAAAGTCTGCAAGAGAGGGAAACATGAGACAACTGTATGATACAACAAAGTAACTTGCTGGAAATTACCGTAAACCAGAAAGACCAGTGAAAAGAAAGGAAGGCAAAGTAATCACCGACATTGAAGAACAACGTAACAGGTGGGTAGAACACTTCAAAGAACTCTTAAATCGACCAGCTCCACTGAACCCACCCAACATCGAAGCAGCACCCACGGACCTCCCAATCGATGTTGGCCCACCAACAATTGAAAAGATCAGCATGGCCATTAGACAAATCAAGAGAGGCAAAGCAGCGGGACCAGACAACATCCTGACAGAGGCACTGAAAGCAAATGTTGCATCAACTGCCAAGATACTCCACATCCTCTTCAGTAAGATTTGGGATGAAGAACAAGTTCCAACAGATTGGAAAAAAGGACTTCTGATCAAAATACCAAAGAAAGGTGATCTTAGCAAGTGCAACAACTACAGGGGCATCACTCTCCTCTCAATACAAGGGAAAGTCTTCAACAGGGTATTGTTAAACAGGATGAAGGATTCCGTGGACACCCAACTTCGAGATCAACAAGCTGGATATCGTAAGGATAGATCGTGCACAGATCAAATCGCAACTCTGCGGATCATTGTGGAACAATCAATCGAATGGAATTCATCACTCTACGTCAACTTCATCGACTACGAGAAGGCATTTGATAGCGTGGACAGGACGACACTATGGAAGCTTCTTCGACACTACGGCGTGCCTGAGAAGATAGTCAATATCATACGGAACTCCTATGATGGACTAAACTGCCAAATCGTCCACGGAGGACAACTCACCGATTCGTTTGAAGTAAAGACTGGTGTAAGGCAAGGTTGCTTACTCTCACCCTTTCTCTTTATCCTGGTAATCGACTGGATCATGAAGACGTCAACGACTGGAGGAAATCACGGGATACAGTGGACAGGCAGGATTCAACTTGACGATCTAGACTTCGCGGATGATCTGGCTCTTCTATCACAAACGCAACAACAAATGCAGGAGAAAACGACCAGTGTAGCAGCAGCCTCAGCAGCAGTAGGTCTCAAATATAAACAAAGAGAAAAGCAAGACTATCCGATACAACACAATATGCACCAATCAAATTACACTTGACGGAGAAGCTTTGGAGGATGTGGAAACCTTTACATATCTGGGAAGCATCATTGATGAACACGGTGGATCAGATGCAGATGTGAGGGCGAGGATCGGCAAAGCAAGAGCAGCATACCTACAACTGAAAAACATCTGGAGCTCAAAACAATTGTCAACCAACACCAAGGTTAGAATTTTCAATACAAATGTCAAGACAGTTCTTCTGTATGGGACGGAGACGTGGAGAACTACGAAAACCATTATCCAGAAGATACAAGTGTTTATTAACAGTTGTCTATGCAACATACTTCGGTTCCGCTTTCCAGACACTATCAACAACAAGCTACTGTGGAAGAAAACAAACCAGATTCCAGCGGAGGAAGAAATCAGGAAGAAGCGCTGGAAGTGGATAGGACACACACTGATGAAATCACTCAACTGCGTCACAAGACAAGCCCTCACATGGAATCCTGAAGGTCAAAGGAGAAGAGGAAGACCAAAGAACACATTACGCTGAGAAATAGAGACAGACATGAGAAGAATGAACAAGAACTGGATAGAACTAGAAAAGAAGGCCCAGGACAGAGTGGGTTGGAGAATGCTGGTCGGCGGCCTATGCTCCATTGGGAGTAACAGGCGAAAGTAAGTAAG